TGACTCAACAACACTTAATAGCAACAACATATCCAAGGTGAAGTCCTGGTGTGGTGCTATAGGATAAGCACTCGGCCATAAGGTCAGTTTGAACTACAAAGTCAGCAGTTTAAACTTATCAGCCACTCCTGGGAAACCCTATATATGGTCATTATGGATGGCACTTCACAACAACAACGTATCCAAAGCACACTGATATATAAGACTAATCACTGCATAAGCCTAGGCTTTCAATACTCAAAACCCAATGCACCCATTAGGTCTCAGGTCAAAGGTCATCTATATCTATAATGTTTTCACTAATCTTTCCCAGGCAGGACTACTGTCTCCCCTTACTAAGTCCTGGTGTGGCGCAGCAGGCTAATATGCTGGACTGCAGGGTTGGTTTGAACTTCAAGGTTGGCAGTTCAAGCTTACCAGCCACTCCTTGGAAATCCTATACAGGGTCACTGTGGGTTGGAATGGACTCGACAGCACTTAATGAGAACAACAATTTACTAGTTGGATATTCCTCTACCCAAATAGTTTTCTCTAACATTTCCTAGGCAGGACTATTCCTCTCTCTCTCCCGTTCCGCACCCCACTCCCCCGAATTTACTGGTATGATGTTCTTTTACCAAAATAATTGTTATATTGCATTTTAATTATTTGCATATCTGCCTTGCTTTCTATATTATGAGCTGTACCAGTCATTTCTGTATCCCCAACACCATGTACATTACTCAATAAATATTTGGTGAGTCAGTAAGTGATTAAATGACTATCAAAGCTCATTAAAGAGGCAAAGTAAATCTAGTGAACTTGACAGAAAGTGTTAGCCTTTCTAGTGGTTGATTATCTGCTGTATGCATGATATTAGAGAGAAATAAGCAAAAGCTATAAAAATTTTTTGTAGTATGTTGTTTTTTTTGTTGTTGCTCAGTATGTTGAGTTGGTTCTGACTCATAGCCACTTTGCATTGGGTTTCCAAGGAGCAACTGTGAATTTGAACCTCTGCCTTGCATTTGAAACCAATCTTGCAGTCCAGTGTATTATTCTGTAGCACCACACCAGGATGGTGGTGATAGTGTGGTGGTGTGCCATGGAGTTGGTTCTGACTCATAGTGATTCTTCATAGGGTTTCCGAGGCTGTAAATCTTTATGGGAGTGGAAAACCTCATCTTTCTCCCAAGGCATAGCTGGTAGTTTTGAACTGTTGACCTTGAGATTAGCAGCCCCACTCATAACCACTATGCTACCAGATAGTGTAGGCTAAATGTTTAATGAATAATACCATAATTTTCACCTCTAGAGAGAACTCTATTGTCACCTTCACAACATTTAATAGGGAATTAAAATTTTGTATAGGATGTTAAAACATTTTTCAATACCTGTGCTAACACCAATATTTTGTGTATATGATGGTATCATTTGCAAATGATTAGGTAGCATTAACTACCTGTGTTGTTGTTGTTGTTATGTGCCGTGGAGTCAGTTCCGACTTATAGCGTCTCTGTACAGGGTTTCTGAGGCTATAAATCTTTATGGGAGCAGAAAGCCTCATCTTTCTCCTGCAGAACAGCTGGCAGTTTCGAACTGGTGGCCTTGAAGTTCCCAACCCGATTCATAACCACTACACTACCACTATCTGTAGTGCTATAGTAAGACATCTGTGTGTATATTACCAGTTACTAGATGACTTCTATAGTGCATGATAAGGAGCTCTTGTAGTGTAGTGGCTACAAATCAGGCTGTTAATCTCAAGGACAGCAATTCAAAATTACCAGTTGTTCTGCAAGAGAAAGATGAGACTTTCTGCTTCCGTAAAGACTTACAGACTCGGAAACCTGATACAGGGTTGCTGTGAGTTGGAATCGACTTGATGGTTCACAACTACCACTACTGTATTGGATGATATCCCTAGTGGCACAGTGGTTAAAGCTGCTAACTCAAAGCTCAGTGGCTTGGACACAAGCAGGCAATAAATGCACAAAGGAAGAAAGATATGACACTCTGCTTCTGTAAAGATCACAGCCTTTGACACCCTATCTGGAAGTTCTATTTTGTCCCATAGGGTCACTATGAGTCAGAATCAACTTGATGGCAATAGGGTTACATTTAGTATACTGGAGGGTCTTACTTTATTTTATTACTGCTCGAGTGGTGGCCAAGTATGTAATTATTTCAGATTTATCTGAAAATTTCAGATTTATCTGGAAATACTTAAAGCTTCTTATGACTCAAAAAAGAACCGTAGATAACTATAATCCTTTCTAGAGGTGGGACTTCTACTGTGTGTGGGCCTGGGGATTAACAGAGATTTCACGGGGCCTGTAAACTGCCCCATATTAGTTACTGTCCAGGGAGTGCAGTGTCTGGGAGTAGAAAGGAGGATTTTGCTTTGTGGTTGAAGCAGGTCACTTTAATGTGACTGAAGGGGTGGGATTTAGAGGCAGACCACATTGTCTATTCATAGAATGTTTGTGGGACCTGACATTAGAAATCAAATGTGGCCCTGATGTTGTCAACAACAGTGAATGAGTATACTTGTGTAATATATTTTTTTTATCATATATCAGGAAGGAGGAAATATCTCTGCATATCTGATTGGATTGGAGAGAATTTTGCAATGAACTACAATATAAAGAGCCATTCAAAGTAGCTTGAAAAATTGAACTTTACTGGAGCAAAGAATTTTGTATTATTTACAACAGAACATTTCAGCGCAAGGTCAGATTTCCCAAGATCTGAAGATTATTCCAAACTCTCACTGTTGAGGTTCATTTGGAGACAGAATAGGAGAGTGTCTTAGCTGCTCTCAGGGAACAGAAGAGCAGAACAGAGTTGGAAATAGAAATTTCAGTTCAGACGTAGGACGATATAGTTGTCATCCCAAATAGAGAGTGGATATGTTTGACAGCACCTACTCTCTCTATTTGCAGGAAGCCAGACACCCTGAAGGTAAGGGCAGAATGTTCACCTTATATAATACTTCATCTTAGTTAAGGTATTGGAGTCTCAAGGACTCTCCCTTAACATCATATGATAGCCATAATGGGAAAAAGAGGCTGGGAAAGCAGCCTATTTCCCTGACTACTCTTAAATCATGAAGTGCTGGGTGGTACAAATAATACAATCAGCTGGTAGCTGAAAGATTTGAGGTTCGAGTCCATGCAGAGATGCCTTAGAAAAAAAGGCCTAAGGCCTACTATCTGTTTCTGAAAAATCAACTACTGAAAACCACAAGGAACACAGTTCCACCTGATACATATGGGTTTGTCATGAGTTGGAATCCACCGAAAGACAGCTGGTTTGGTTCTTTGGTTTACTATACTTATGTAAAAAAAATGACTTCCCATTTCCTAGTTTCCTAAGGTCTGCTGATACAGAAGGGCCTGTGTCTGATCCAGGCATCCCAGTTCTAGGGGAGACCCTAGTGAAGGAGAAGAGACTTTAACTAGAAAGGAAGATCCCATTGTTTACGAGGGAGCTTCAAAATGTTCGTGGAAACATTTCATTATTTTTTAATTTAAAATTTCCAGGAACGTTTTGAAGCCTCCTCGTATATGGTGGGGAAGGCATTGGTATGAGACTTCTTTTACTTTTCTTCTAAAATGTTTTATTGTAGTTTGGGTGAAAGCTTGCAGAGCAACTTAATTTTCCATTCAGCAATTTATACACATTTTGTTTCATGGCATTGGCTGCAATTCCCTCAATATAACAGCACTTATTAAAGGAAGTTCCACTTCCTCTCTGAGTTCCCTGTTCCCATTCATTCTTTTTTCCTACCCCTTCCTGCTTTCTGAGATTTGTTTTTGGGCAAATGCTGTCCTTTGGGTCTCACTCACGTGGTTGAATGTAATGAAGGGCATATTCCTCCTTGGTGTTATTGTTCATTTTATAAACCTGTCTGCTTGGCTGAAAGTTTATCCCTGGGGGTGGGTTCAGTTTCAGACTTGAAGGGTCTCTAAGGGCCACAGTATCAGGGTTCCACTCTATCAGTCCAATAAATCTGGTCTTTTTCTGATTTAAAATTTGTCCTCTCTATAAATTTTTCCTCTCTCTTTTTGTCTAGAGCCTTCTGTTGTGGTCCTGATCAGAGTAGTTGGTTATAGCTAGTTGATGGAAAAGGAAGCCGTATCTCAAGAAGGATGTTTATTGTAACCATAGTTCTGTGAGTTTCAAGAGGGAATTGGACAGAGGAGTTCTGGGTGGAAGAGACTGGGTGCCACAAATAACTAGTGAATCTTGTCTTTCCCTCATCCAGTTCTTGGTGAATCTATGTGACACATTATTAAGAAATTACACTTTTTAAAAATAACCATTTTGTTATTTAATCCCACAATTGCCTTCCAAGGAGTGTGGATCTTGATAAACAATGAAACTTCTTTTCACCTTTTACTTTCTGCTAGACCTTTAGATGGCTTAGATATGAAGCCAGGTAATATTAACTGCTGATGGTTTGAGATTAGGTTATGTAAGATGAAATACCAGTAGAAGTTTCCCTGATGTGGGTTATATTAATTTGAGATATGTAATAATGAGATATTTATCATTCAACTGGAATTTATTTGAGTTGCTGTGATGAGAAGCTTTCATTGACAGATTAACCCTGAATCTTTATGAAATGCATGAATGAGATTTGTTTCTTTGGTGTGAAATGGGCTTCACATCTAGGCCCATTTGGAATTGGAGATACACAGTGTTCAAGGAAGCATGTACCCAAAGGCAACTATGGAAATGGGATTTTCATAGTTGTGATGCATTTGGATGTCCAAAGGATCTGGAATTAGTTGATTCAAGTCAACGTTAATCTTGATCTAAAAAGGAGGCTAATCCTAGGTGACTATGGACACATAGGAACCATTTTGATAAGATGATGAAGAACCAGGACTGAGTGAATCAGAAGCATGGTCAGAGAGTTAGCGTTGTGTGGATAATTCTTCTAAATTATGAAAATTAGTCAGAATGCAATTCAGTTGGTGAAATATGCTGCAGATCTTCTGTAAATTATGTTGTACTTAATACATCAGGACACAGCGGATACTAGAAAAAATCAAAAACAAAAACAGTTGAAAGTTTTCCAAAGGAACATTTGTATTTTGACATTTCAAATGCTTGCTCTGTAGCCTATTAAGCTATATTCCCTACCCTTTGTTGTTGTTGTTAAGTGACATTAAGTCGATTCTGACCCATAGCAACCCTACATAGGGTTTCCTAGGAGCAACTGGTGAGCTTGAACCACTGATCTTGTAGTTCTATGGCTTTGCAGCCTGGCGCATTAACCCACAGTGCCACACCAGACTCCACATTCCCTTCCTTTTAAGGTAGGTTAAAAATATATAAAGCCATTGTGAGACAATTTTTCAAAGTGACATGAAGCTTCAAGGCTAAGGAATAGATATGCAGGCTTATCCCCAAGTGGGAAATGCCAATGGTTGGCTCCAGTCTTGTGAATCAGAGGTAAGAGTTCTCTAGAGATAATTTCATGATGGTGCTTTGAAAATGATGTACTTAAATGAGGACAAACATTTTATGAGCTGACTTAATTACTGACTTAATTACTTACTGTGCCATTTAAAAAATTTCTAAATTGGAAATCAAAATTTGATAGTTAGGGTAAATGAGCACTAAACTATTTTTAGGATTGTACATTGTAATAGCTGGCATAAAACAAAACATAGAGAGGAGAAGCGGTACAACATTTTTTTGAAACCTGCAATAGTCTGCACTTGGCTCCTTCAGCAGTGACTACCCATCTCCTACCTCCCCCAACACTCACACACCATTTTTCTTGGTCCCAAACACATAGGCATAAACATTATGTGAGAAACTTGCCATTTTCCAGTTTTCATTAATTCAGCTGCTTCATTGATCTTATCAAATTTCATAGTATGGGTAATTAGTGAATCTAGGTTAATCTTCTTTGCCATAAAGTCAGAAACCAGTTTAGGAACATGATCTCTGCTCTTCCATCCTGAAATACAAAGAAAAATGATAGATTTCATACATCAGACTATACTTGAAAAGAAAAATCCACCCAGAGTATTGCTGGACATGTTGAATTCGATTGAGGAAGTCTTGTTTTTGTCTTTGTTAAGTGCCGTCAAGTTGGTTCCAGCTCACAAAGACCCTGTATAAGGATTCTGAGGAATGACTGGTTTGTTTGAACTGCTGACTTTTCAGTCTAGTACTTATCCAACTACACCACACCAGAACTCCTGAAGAAATCTAAGGATGGTTTATTAATATGTCTCAGTCATCAGAATGCTTGTTTCAACTATACGCTCATGGAGAGGGCCGTTTTCCTGAGGCGACATTTGGTACTAATAGTATAGAATTTATATCTAAGTCAAAAGTCTTAGGAATCATGAAAGAAAACAATTTAAAGGTTAAAAATGTCCTTCCTGTGTATGTTTTGATGTCCGGCTTCAAGAAAAAGTTAAATACCTAGAAAAGAAATTCAATCATGAAGTAAAACAAGTGAGAGCTTTTTGAAAAAGAATAACTATGAAAATAAAAGAAACCTTCTGGAAGTAAGAATTGCACAGGCCAAGATAGACTTACTATTGTCTTTTCTTTAGTCTCGTGATTTTCTCGAAAAACTGTCCTTACATTTAGCCCTGTGATTAGTGACATGATCAGTGAGTTATCAGACAGAATTTGGTGGTCTGCTTATAATGAAAAGGGTTGTTGTAGTTAGGTGCCATAGAGACAGTACCGACTTATAACTACGCTATGCACAACAGAACAAAACTCTGCCCAGTCCTGGGCCAACCTCACCATTGTTGCCATGCTTGAACCCATTGATGCTGCCACTTTGCCAATCCATCTCTCTGGGGGTCTTCCTCTTTTTCTCTGACCCTCCACCCTACCAAACATGATATCTCTCTCCAGAGACTGGTCCCTCCTGACAATATGTCTGAAGTATGAGAGATGAAGTTTGGCCATCCTGGCCTCCAAGGAGCACTCTGGCTGTACTTCATTAAACACAGATCTGTTTATTCTTTTGGCAGCCCATGGTCCTTTCAATATTCTCTTCCAACACTGTAACTCAAAGGCATCAATTCTATGACCTTCCTTATTCACTGTCCAACTTTTACATGCATATGAGGTTATTGAAAATACCATGGCTTGGGTCAGGGCACCTTAGTCCTCAAGCTGACATCTTTGCTCTTCAACACTTTAAAATAGTCTTGTGGAGCAGATTTGCCTAATGCAATATGTCATTTGATTTCTTGACTGCTGCTTCCATGAGTGTTGATTGTTGATCGAAGAAAAATTGTCTTTGACAACTGCAATCTTTTCTCCATTGACAAGGGTGTTCTTTATTGGTCCAGTGGTGAGGATTTTTGTTTTCTTAACATTGAGATGCAATCCGTACAGAAGGCTATGTTCTTTGATCTTCATCAGTAAGTATTGAAAGTACTCTTCACTTTCAGCAAACAAAGTTGTATCATCTGCATATTACAGGCTGTTAATGAGCCTTCCTCCAAGCCTGATGCCATGTTTTTCTTCATATACCCCAGCTTCTTGGATTATTTACTCAGCATACAGGTTGAATAAGTATGGTGAAAGAATACAACCATGTTGCATACCTTCCTTAATTTTAAACCATTCAGTGTTCCCATGTTCTGTTCAAACAACTGCCTCTTGGCCCAGGTACAGATTCCTCATGAGCATAATTAAGTGTTCTGGAAAACTCATACAATGTCGTCCATAGCTTGTCATAATCCACACAATCGAACACCTTTGTATAGTCAATAAATCACAGGTATTCTTCTGGTATTCTCTGCTTTCAGCCAAGATCCATCGGACATCAACAATGATATCCCTTGTTCCATGTCCTCTTCTGAATCTGGTTCGAATATTTGGAAGTTCTCTGTCAATATATGCTTGCAGCCATTTCTGTATTACCTTGCGTAAAACTTCACTCACATAGGATATCAAAGATATTGTCCAATTATTTCTGAATTATGTTAGGTCACCTTTCTTTGGAATGGGCACAAATATGGATCTTTGTTGGCCAAATAGTTGTCTTCCAAATTTCTTGGCATAGATGAGTGAATGCCTCCAGTGAAACCTCATTTTCTTGAAAATTTTTGATATGTGTTCCATCAATTCCTGGAGCTTTGTTCTTTGCCAATTCCTTCAATGCATCTTGGACTTCCTCCTTCAGTATCATTGGCTCTTGATCATATGTTACCTCTTGAAACAGTTGAACATTGACCATTTCCTTTTGTTACAGTGACTCTGTGTATTCCTTCTATCTTTTCTTGATGTTCTGCATCATTCAATAATTTCCCCAGAGAATCCTTCAATAACGAAAGTTGAGGCTTGAATTTTTTCTTCAGTTCCCTCAGCTTGAGAAATGCTGAGTGTGTTCTTCCCTTTTGGTTTTCTGATTGCAGATCTTTGTATATTTTGTTGTAATATTTGGCTTTATCTTCTTGAGCTGACCTTTGAAAATTTCTGTTCAGCTCTTGGACCTCCTCATTTCTCCCATTTGCTTTAGCATCTCTATGCTGAAGAGTACATTTCAGTGTCTCTTCTGACATCCATTTGGATCTTTTCCTTCTTTCCTGTTTTCTTAATGACTTTTTGCTTTCTTCCTGTATGATGTTCTTGATGTCATCCCACAACTCTTCTGGTCTTCGGTATTTCGTGTTTAATGTATCAAATCTGTTCTTCAGATGATCTCTAAATTCAGTTGTGATATATTCAAGGTCATATTTTGGCTCTCGTGGACTTGTTTTCATTTTCTTCAGCTTCAGTTTGAATTTGCATATAAGCAATGGATGGTCTATTCCACAGTCTGCCCCAGGCCTTGTTTTGGCTGATGATATGGTGTGCTTCTACTTTCTCTTTCCACAGCTGTAGTCAAACTGATTTCTGTGTATTCCATCTGGTGAGGTCCATGTGTATAGTCATCTCTTAAGCTGTTTTAAAAATATTTTTTAAGTGAACAAATCATTGGTTTTGCAGAATTCTATCATGCAATCTCCAGCATTATTTCTATCACCAAGGCCATATTTTCAAAATACTGGTCCTTCCTCTTTGTTTACAACCTTTGCATTCCAATCCCCAGTGCTTATGACTATCTTGATTGCATGTTTGATTAATTTCAGGCTGTAGAAGTTGGTAGAATTCTTCTATTTCAACCTCACTGCCTTTAGTGGTTGGTGAGTAAATTTGAATAATATGGTATTAACTGGTCTTCCCTATAGGTGCATGGATATTATCCTCTTACAGACAGCCTTGTACCTCATGATAGATCTTGATATGTTCTTTTTGACTGTGAATGCAACAAATGGACCACCACTCATCTGTCAGTTTATCATCTTGTGGTGGCTTGTGAGTTGCCAAAATTCTGGAATCTATGCCATGAGTATTTTAAATAGCAGCAGGGTCACCCATTCTGGAAAGGATAGTGTCATATAATTATACAAGGAGACAACAGTGTCCTAAGCAGATTGGGTCTTAGCAGTCACTTGCTTTTCTTCATTTCAGAATGGGTTGTATACCCTAGTCTTCCCATGGATTCTCAAAACTATCCAATATTCTTCCAGCAAATTTATTTTCTAATTAAGTTGGTTTCTGTTATAGAGAACTGTTATGGCTTGAATTGTTTCCCCATAAATATTCATGGAAAATCCTATATGTCTCTGGCTACAATCCCATTTGGGAGTGGGTTGTTTTGCTATGTTGAGGATGCAGGATTAGAGTAGTGTGTGCCTTCAATCCATCTCTTGATCTGTGAAAGAGATGAAACATCCTACTAGCAAGCAGAGATGGGGAAGACAGATGCCATGCCACATGAAGATCACCAAGGAGCCAAGGAAAAGAGACAAGGACCTTCCCCCAGAGCTGAAAGAGAAAAAAATGGAGAGAGAAAAATCCCTCCTGGAGAGGTGGTGCCATGAATTTGGACTTCTAACTCGTAAACTTTGAGAGAAGAAATTTCTATTTGTTAAAGACATCTGCTTGTGGTATTTCTGCTACAACAGCACTAGAGAACTACAACGGGAATCAACATTTTTAATAATGTTTTCTGTCATTACACGAAGGGATCAAATAAAGCATTTTCTTATCTGTGTAATAAAATGTTCACTTGTTTCTTCTTTCAACTAAACAAAATAAGAAGGAATAGGTTTTCACAGTAGCCTAATTTGTGCTTCTCAATAGAGGCACTAATGCCATTTTGAGTGGGGAAATTCTTCCTTGTGAATTTTGTTGGAGGTTTAACCATTCTGTGCGGCACCCATAAAATGTGATCCTTGATTGAAAGCTACTATAAAGGAAAGTAACTTACATCTATGATTTGACTTCACCCAGAGGCATCTCAAGGAAAAGTTGAGAGAGTGAGCTACACAAAATCAGTCACTGACTACACTATGAAGCGCAGTTCTAATCCGACACCATGTAAGGTCACTGAGAGTCAGAATCAACTCAAAGGCAACTCATTTCTGATTATGGTCATTATATGAAGTGGTCATTGAATTAGGTTTACTGTGAGGGTTATTTAATATATTGGCGACCTTATTTTATAAAAGTTAGCTGAGTATGTGTAATTTGTATAAACACTTATCATCTATAAATATAATAGAGTGAAATGGCAGTAGATGTGCTCAGTGATTCCAAATAGAAGAACTAAAACCACAGTTTACACTGTTAATAACTTCTTTCCCTTTATTTTTTTTACTGCTCTTCACAAATGATTCGGGTAAGTTTCTTAATATCTGTAACAATTTTTTTTGTTGTTAAGTGTGCCGTTGAGTCATTTCTGACTCATGGTAACCCTATGTAGGGTTTCCCAGAGTCCTAGCTTGACCCAAGGTTAGTTTGAACTTCAAGGTCTATGGTTCAAACTCAGCAGCTCCTCCTTGGAAACCCTACAAGTGGTTGGTATTAGTTGGAACTGACTCATAGGCCTTAACAATAAGAACAAGAACAACAATAGGGTTTCTAAGGAGGTTAGCATCTCCTTTGTGGTTATCAGTCTAGTGTTTATTGTACATTGCCATACATAGTTAACAATTTTGTTTGTTTAGTGCCGTAGAGTCTGTTCTGACCCATAGCAATGCTGTAGAGGGTTTCAGAGCTGGTATATTTGAACGACCGACCTTGTGGTTGACAAACCAGTGTTTATCCTACAGAACCACATGAGGACTCCATAATTATCAATACATATAGTTAATTTGGACACACAGATAACTCATTCTCTAGAGTATTTTTGTTCCTAATTTTCTTCTTTTTGCCCAAAATTCAGATTACCCAAAATCTCTGGATAAATACATTTCCTCTTAAAATAAATATCAGATTATTTGCTTATGAGCCCAGAATCATATCTAAGTAGATTTATTTATTTTTGACTTCCTCAATAAAGGGCTTTTCTAAAGGCTATAAAAAGACATGTTCTAAGACAGGTTTTAAAAAAGGAAAATTAAAGGATTCTATGAAAAACTGTTTTTTTTTTTTTTGCCTGAAAAAAAAAAAAAGCTCGTTTCCTATCATTTACTTCGTTTAAGCCATGAATTCATGGTGTTTCATACCTTCGAGTTGGCTTGGTGCCAACTTATTGTTTGGGATAAATTTTATAGAAGTTGAACAATGACTACTAATGATAAGGTATGTCCCTTAAAGAACCCTAGTTGGCAAGTATATAACCAAACCTCAGTGAAGCTATTAATCACAAGAAAGTGTTTTCTTTTTAATTTAGAGTTTGTATTGAAAACTTAACACTGGCATCTTTGTCCAATTTAAAAAATGTTTTTCTCTACTTTTGCATGAGAAAAAGCTCACCAAGAAGCAACTGGATATATCCAGTATCAAAGCTCTTACCTTGAATATTCATGTATTGAAACAGAAACTAAAATCTAAAATTCTTTGGGTTCTTTCTTAGCATTTAAGGCACACCTCCCCTACTCCCCACCTTCAACCCCCTGGGCATTTCCACCATTACAAGTTTCATCCTACCTCCAAACACAGATCCCTTCAAGGAGCGCCCTGAGAAGAACAGCATGCCACTGACACTGAGCTGGACACCAGCAGTCATCAAACCCACAATCACACAGACACCGTGGTTCTCATGGCAGGAGGCAAGGGCAGCTGCCTGTTATGAATCAAATGCAGACCAGTGCAGTGGTTACAAGAAGATGCTCTTAGGAGTTGGACCTAAGTTTTAATCTCAGCTTTACTATTGAATGGTCTGTGACCTTCTTTCCTGATTCTCCCTTCCCGCATTTGAAATAACATTTATTGTATAAGAAGGCATGACACATAGTTAAGCCGCTGTGTGGCACCTAGTATATGTTATTCCTGCTGTGTGACTTCAAGTCAGTTCTGACTCATGTTGTATGGTTGAGTCTGACCCTAAGCATCCCTAAGTGACACAGTAGAATAGCCCTGTATCTTTACAGGAGCAGACCACCGTGGCTTTTCTCCCCTTGAGTAAGTGGTAGGTTCAAACTGCCAACCATCTGAACGAAGAATTAATGCAGCCAAGCACTTAAAGATTGTATCACCAGGGCTCCTGGTATATAAAACCCACCCACTGACTTCCAGTCTATTCTGATTCACAGTGACTCTATATGACAGAGTAGAATTGCTTCCTACTATGTCCTAGGATGTAAATCTTTACGGACTCTACCTTCCTCATCTTTCTCCAAAACAACTGGCAGGTTTGGAACACCAAAGTTTCAGTCAGCCCATTACTTAATCCACTGTACCTCTAGGACTCGTCCACCCATTCCAAATACCAAAGCCATTGAATTGATTCTGACTCCTAGTAACCTGTATAGGGTTTCCAAGAGTATACATTTTTATGGAAGCAGACAGCCTCACCTTTCTCCTGCAGTGAAGCTTGTAGGATTGAACTACCTGCCTTGCCATTAGCAGTCCATTGCTCATCCTACAGTGGTACAAGGATTCCTCACCAGGGCTTACGTTATTATTGTTAGGAGTTGTTGAGTCAGTCCTGACTCAGCGACCCTGTATAGTGTTTCTGAGAAGTGGTTGGTGAGCTTAATCTGCTAATCTTGCAGTTGAAACCAACTTTGCAGCCTAGTACATTAACCCACTGTGCCACACCAGGATTCTACTAAGTCTTGTTGTTGTTTTTATGAAGTGCTGTGGAGTCATTTCTGACCCATAGAAACCCTGTATAGGGTTTCCAAGCAGCAGCTGGTGAGCTTGAATCACCAAACTTGCAGTTCAAACGGCTTTGTAGTCTGGTGCATTAAACCACAGATCCACACCAGGACTCTACCAAGACTAGTAGGACTCAGTAAATTGAAGTAACAACAATGAAAATAATAACATCCATGGTAATAATCATATGTATATTTTTAAAAATCAGAACTATCACTAACACAAGTAGTTGGTTATTACTGACTTTTTGAAAGATATGAAGGGGACAGTTGGTATTTATATAGCTCTTCGTGCTAACAAATGTCAAACAGACTGTGGTGATTTCTTAGAGCAAGACTATGTGCAAGGGAAAGGGTCCAGATTGGAAAAGGCCATTCTTCTTCAAATAGCTGATTGCTGTTGTTGTTGAGTGCCATTGAGTCAATTCTGACTCAGCCACCTTGCCTAGGGCTTCGGAGGAGCATGTGGTGCGTTTGAACCACTGACCACGTGGTTCAAACTGAACTTGTGGTCCAGTGCTTATCTTACAGTGCCACACCAGGACTCCAAACAGCTTGTTTTTTTGTGAAGGGACGTCAAGTCAGTTCTGACCTATAGTAACCCTGCATAGGGTTTCGAGGAGCAACTGGTGAGCTTGAACTTCCAACCTGGAGGTTCAAACAGATTTTGCAATCCAGTGCATTAACCCACAGGGCCACAACAGGACTCCAATTTTTACCTTATCTAGGTTAAATTTCCTGGCTTAGAAATTATAGTTAACAAGCTGTGTCTTGTAATGAAATATTCTAGCCAGAATTCTTTACAAAGTCTTATTCTCTTGCCCTTTGGAGACGCTCTGCTTACGTTCCTATGAAGGACTGGTGTGATGGCAACATTGGCACAAAAGTTATGCTTTCAGTGTTGAAGATAGTGAACAGAATTATTAGAGTGTACAGTGGGTGCCAGCTGGGATTTTTGTAACAAAGAAAGTTAGAAAAATGTGTAGGGACCTTAAAATTTCTAATTAAATTAAATTGTAAGGTAAATTCTGATCATTTCACTCCATGGGAGTACATACCACAATGTCTGGATTTCCAATGACCTCAAAGCAAAAATCAGCACCAGCACCGATCATCTCAATTAAAACTTCGTGGACAGGTTTCTCAAAGTCTAGTGGGCTGAAGCACTCAGTGGCTCCCACTTCCTTTGCCTTCTCAAATTTTTCCTTGTTGATATCCACTCCAATGATCCTGGCTGCTCCTGCTGCCTTACAGCCCATGATCACAGACAGACCAACTCCTCCAAGGCCAAACACGACACAAGAGGAGCCAGCCGTGACCTGAGCACATAAAGACAGAACACCCAAAACTAAAAGCAAAGGGAACATGTGCATTTATTCACTTAAGAAGGCCTAGTGCATATTTTATTTGTGACGTAAGTAAAGAACATTTTCAAATAAAACATATTATAGCTTGAGTTCTAGTCCCTCAAGACAGCTCTAGATATAAAACACTCCTGTATAAAGGTAATAGAGAGAAATGGCTACTACAAATAGAGTTTCAAAGTCCCAGGAATTAGCATGAGTGGAAGTAGTTTAATCAGCATTCGTTGAATCTTAAGTCTTATTTGACAAAATATTCATTTAATTTCAGATATTTTCGAGTCTGTTAAAATGATCTCTATCTTCTTGCAAACATTTCTTTCTTTTGGATACCTGTAAATTTTGCATTACTAACAGGGTTAATGCCTTATGAAGGTATATGCTTATTCTTTAGTACAGTCCAAAACTGGATCAATTTACATTGAGTCCCTTCTACCCAATTTCTCTATATAGTACTGGAACTAATGGAAAACCACCAAGATTTACAACCCAACAACCACTTAAAGATGGTGCTGGGAAGATTTGGATGTAGTACTTTAACAGTAGCTCAGTAATCATTGTGGAATTCCTTGATCAATCTAATACATCAACTTCTCCTTTTGGAGTATTGGTCTGTTACTCTCCTCTTTATTGGTACTTATCATAATCCGATACAGTATACATTTATTTTATTTGGTCTGCTATTTTGAGATTACAATATATGTTCATTAAGTTTTATCAACTGTTGAATCCTAGCACCTATAAATAGTACCTGGCATAGTTGTTTTTTTAAGTTCTGTGAAGTCAGTTCTGACTCATAGCAACCCTTTACAAGGTTTCTAAATAGTGGCTGGTGAATTTGAACCACCGACCTTGCAGTTGAAATCAACCTTATGGTCCAGTGCTTATTCTAAAGCACCATACCAGGACTCCACCTGGTGTAATAGATGCTCCATAAATGGTGTTGAATGAAAGAAAGTATGCATTGAATTGTGGAAGGATACATAGTCATGTTGTATCTGTGATATGTTCAACTCCCAGGAATTCCATATGTTTCCATTTGTGAATGGTATCCAGTATTGATTTTCCACTCTACTAAGTGAATTCCTGGTGTGCTGCTTTAGGATAAGCACAGGACTGCTAACTGCAAGATAGATAGTTCAAACCCACCAGCGGCTCCTTGAAAATGGTATACCTGGTTGCTATGAGTCAGAATTGACTTGATGGTACTTAACAACAGCAACACAACTTACTAAGTGGCAATGGAGAAAACATTGAAGGGGACATTTGATGACTAAGCAGAAGATGGTGAACTCAAGAATGTTTGTGATTTTTCTTCAAGTTGTATGATCACACGTGTCCCAAATGCATGAGGAAGTTCAATTCCATATCTCAAGGATTCCATTCATAATAATTACAAATGATCCTCACCTTGGCAGTATTGATTGCAGCACCATACCCAGTGGAAAATCCACAGCTAATTAGGCACACTTTCTCAAGAGGTGCGACTGCATCAATCTTGGCAATTGCAATTTCTTTTATCACGGTGTATTCTGAGAACGTACTCGTGTTAGCAAAGTGATATACTGATTTTCCCTTGCAGGTAAACCTAGTGGTGCCATCAGACATCAGCCCAGTGTGTGAGTCTCTTTTACACACACACACAAAAAAAAAAAAAAAAAGAAAGAAAAAAAAAGATTTATTTTGAATTAGAAGACTTAAATCTCTTGCCAGGAAATCAAATGAACTTTTCAAAATAATAGTAAAGACTTACTTCAATCTTATACAAAAATTGCTCCCAGGATTTAGGCAAGAGCTACATTGTCCACATTGTGGTAGAAAGAGTGTGATAACCTTGTCACCTAGGAGAGGAAAATAATGAATTATTATGACTTTACTAATTTTAAAAAATGTGGCGTACACACACTCAGTCACATAAAGAGACTTCAAAAGTTCATGGGAAACTGGCATTAAAAAGTATGGAGTTTTCCCATGAACTTTTTAAAGTCCCTTGTATTTATAAAATTATAAAATGTTATAATTTTCCAATTCAACATTTCTACATATACAATTCAAAGACATTGATTATGCTCATGTTGTGCAACCAACACCATTATCTACTTACAAAAAATTCCTAGAACCCGTAACAGAAGTTCTTAACTCCTTAAATAGTGACTTCTTTTTGTCCCCCTTTTTCCTCTCCTATAGTTTAAAACAACTATACGTTTTAAAGTAAAGAGTTAGTTGTTTCTCAGTATTTCAACAACAAGGCACAAAAGAATCTACTATGATTATGGTGACAATTGACAGTTACTTCCATATTTAATTGTGCTTGATACTATGAAGGCTACCAAGTATCCGAGATAATCCACTATTCTTTCATGTTGTTTTATAGTTCCTCTATGATTTCACCTTTTTCATTTTTAAGTTTTAGATATTTATAAAATATTTTTGTATAATGAATGATTTAGGAACTCAACTTGCTTTTTTCCACCAATGATTAACCTCTTGTTTCAATGCAGTTTACAGAACAATCCATGTTCTCCACTTCAAATATGAAAGGCAAACTATCCTTATTAAATTTCTATATAAGTATATTTGAATTCATTTCTAAACTGCTTTTCTATTTGGTTCCACTAATGCATTAGACTCATCATGTGCTTCATAATTGAATAAATAATTGCTTCATAGTTACCCTCAGTTTACTTTTTCTTTCTGTAAATTTTTATCTTATTTTGTACTTCATTTCAGATTTCATTTCAGTGCATTCAGTTTCTCCTTGTTATTTTTCTTCTTAAAATATAAATGCAGATAATACAATACATTTAGTTTTTTTGGTATTACTTATTCATAATGATCTTTCTTTCCCCAAAAAAATGGGCAAGATGTCACCTTATATTTCACTTGATTTCAGCATCTTTAAGGAATGCTTTTGTTTTTCTCATGTGGGTTCCAGATTCCAAGTTGCTGCTATTTCCAAACCTCAGGTCCTAATTTATACCTGCTTTCACCGTGCTGACTCCTTCTCCCACACTCTCAACTATTCCAGCTCCTTCATGGCCTAAAACAACTGGGGATACGTGAGCGTTGTTCACCATTTTCAGGTCTGTACCACATAGCCCTGTGGCCACAATCTGTATGGAAAGCAGAGAGTACTTACTATGGTTTTCTCTATCTCAGATAAAACTTTTAGAATTGTTAGTGTTCAAAAACTTTGAAAATAATTGGCTATGGTTCATTAATACAGTGAATTAATTGATCAGTTTTGCTTCTAGACAAGTATCAATAACATTCTAAAAGAAATCCAGTGTCTTTCATTAGCTAATTTCAAAAACAAGAGGATAAATTTGAAATTTATTGAAAATAGGATAGGGTCAGAAGACAGTTGTACAACCACAGAGTGACATTAAAGTTTTCGTTTGATGCTTCATTTGAGCTCATTTTGATTCTTCATTTGAGAATGGAGTGGGAGCAAGGTAGATAAAGACCAAATATAGAAATAAAGGAATTGGAACATAGGAGGGAAATAGATAATGCTTTTTATTATAATTTAAGCCTAAGTTATTGTTTTTGTTTTTAAAGAATCAAAACAGTTGTTAGATGCAGTCAAATTAACTCCACCTTATGGTGACTTCATGCATGTCAGAGGTGAATGGAAAACTCCATAGAGTTTTCTTTCAGTGGCTGATTTTGGGGAAGTAAAAGGGTAAATCAAAAGGTATTGCTGCAAAATTATAGAAACTTCTATTAAACAAAATTATCAAAATGTGAAGCTATTGTTTCTCAACATATTCTCCAGTTAAGTCTACAAACTTTTGAAGGCTGTGTTTCCATCTCTCTAACCTTTGGTGAGGCGCTGAAGGTTAACGAGTCAGACCGCAAAGCCATTTGAACTGCAAGGTCACAGTTCAGGCTCATCAGCTGCTCCTCGGAAACCCTATACAGGGTCGCTATGGGTCGGAATTAACTTGACGGCACTTAACAACAACAACAACAACAACCTTTCTGTATGGGGGTTTCCAAGGAGCAGTTGGTGAGCTTGAACCACTGACCTTGGGGTTCAAATCAACTTTGCAATCCAGTGCATTAACCCAAAGTGCCACATCAAGACTCCAATTAGTATGATAATATAAGTTAAATATAAATATGAGTTTTATCTGGGGCTTTTAGTTCATCTGTTAACTGAAATGTTGAGTTCATCCAGAGATGCCTAGAATGAAAGATCTGAAAATCTACTTCTAAAAGAGTCAGCCATTGTAAAGAGTATGAACTAAGTTCTACTCTGACACACATGAGGTTTTCATGAGTCTGAAATGTGTTCTCCTTGCCTAGCTTTTCTATGAACAGGTTTAAAGACATGGCTAATGAAAAGGAAATGGAAGCATATATAACTTTCTTCCTAAATTGATTTCTGAAAATAATGGATGACTTACAGTGAACTGTGCTGATTTTTTTTTGGTGTGTGAAAATGTGAATTTTTTTTTTTTCCATTTACCTTTATGCGAACTTCTTTTGCCTTTGGTGGGGCCACTTCTATCTCCTCAATGGAAAATGGTGTACCAGGTTTCCAGAGTATGGCTGCTCTGCACCTGATAACCTGGAACATAAAATATGAGAGCAGAAAGAGAAATTTCTTAGGGTTGGCAGTTTGGGGATTCCTATTTAATGATTATTAATATATTTAGGCCAGTTTTTATACACTTTAACAGAAAAATCATATAAATATGTACTCTCTCTCTCTTTCTCTCTCTCTCTCTCTATATACAATCTACTTACCTCAATCCAATTCTCTTGTACTATCAACTCTGAATTCAAGTTACTTTTGCAATTACTAACAATCAAGACCATCACTGTCAACCTTTTGATAGCATAAATGAAGTTGTCTCAGGATAAGAATGACTTTGTGGTATTGGAGGTATTTGTCATCCCACAAGTGGAAGCTACCACTTGTCTGTCAGTTTGTGTCAGTATGTGTTGCTGTGATTCTGTAAGCTATGCCACAGATCTGTTAAATACCAGCAGGATCACTCATGGTGGACATGTTTCAGCTTAGCTTCCAGACTAAGACAGACTAGGAAGAAGGAGGTACAGACTACTTCCAAATATTTTGTCACTGAAAACCTTATGAATAACAGTGGAACACTGTGAGCACCAGAATGTTGAATATTGAAACATGATGAAGAGCACCAAAATATTGTCAGATATAGTGCGAGCCTGTCAAGTTGTAAGGCACTCAAAATATGACTGGGGAAGAGATGCTTCCTCAATGTAGAGTTGACTTTGATGACGCAATTGAAGTAAAGCCATGGGGACATTCATTTGCTAATGGGACACAACTTAAAATGAGGAGAAATTGTTGTAAACATCCATTAATAATGAGAAACTGAAACATATAAAGTATGAATCTGGGAAAATTGGAATTTGTTAAATATGAAATGCTGTTGCTGTTAAGTACTTGTGGAGTCTATTCCAACTCATAGTGACCCTGCACAGGGTTTCTGAGGCTGTAAATCTTTAAGGGAGCAGAAAGCCTCATCTTTCTTCTGCGGAACGGCTAGTAGTTTCGAACTGCTAGCCTTGAGGTTAATAGCCCAATGAGAAACCACTACGCAACCAGAGCTCCTTAAAATATGGAATAGAATGCATAAAAATTTATATCCTAGGCATTGTTGTCGTTGTTTCCAGCCTCCATTGAATTGGTACTGACCCATAGTGACAGATAACTTAGTCATTGGCTACCTAAAATGAGGGGGCCTATAAAGTCATGAAGTGACTGACTTACAAGTTTTCTAGAGGGACTTTTGTTTCGGAGTGTGTGGGGAAGGTAGAATCCGCACAGAATAGATTTCCTCTTGTCTAGATTGACCTGGTGAAAGGAGATAGGGACAGGATTCATTGATTCAATGATGAATAATTGTTATCATAACTAGTTGCCATTGTCACAAGTGTAAAGATAGAAGTTTTGTAACAAGAAGGGGAGTATTAGTTAATCTAACATTCCAGGGACAGAGGACCCTAGGATCATCAAGAGAGAAGAGCATGAGCTGAACATGGGACCCTAACCAGAGAAGCAGTGACACCAGAGGTGATGGCATGGAGAGATTGTGCAACTGAGTACTCTAGACTCATGGAAAGAGAAAGTCTGTGTGCTGGTGGCCAGGAGACTGGCTTGCAGAATGTGACCTTTGGTTGTTTAAATGATTATCTATCCCTGCATGTTTTTTTTTTTGTTGTTGTTGTTGTTTGTTTGTTTTTGTACATCAAGGAAGGGAAAAAAAAAGAGAGAGAGGAGTGTTTTCTTGAAAAATGAAACAATCTATGATGGTTTTGTGGGGAGGAGGAAATGATACATATGCCAGAGGGTAGACATGCATTGACATGAGTGATGTGGCAGGCAATATAGAATGGGAAGGAGGTTGAAAGAGGAAAGATGTGAGTGATAGGAAACACAGGGAGAAATGCAGTGGCTAAAGCAAATAGAGGTAAATGCTGTTAAAAATTGGTGCATGGATGGAATTGTAACCATATAATGAAGCAAAGTATATGATTTGTTGAATGTAAGACTGATGATATGCTCTGTAACCTTCACTCAATTCACAATAAAAAGTTAGAAAAAAAAAAGAAAGAAAGAAATGGTTGATGTTCAGTCATTTCAAGAGTAGCATACTGAAGGAATAAGTCTAAGGTGCAATGAAGGTATTGGCAAATAACAAGGCTCCATGAATTGATGGAATACAAATTGAAATCTTAACAAAAAAACTGATGAAGCACTAGAAGCACTCATCTTTGCCAAGAAATTTGGAAGACAGGTAACTGACCAACTGATTGAAAAGGTTCATATTTGTGTACATTTCAAAGAGAGGTGACTCAAAGGAATGAGGAAATTATTGGACAATATCATTAATGTCTCAGGCAAGAAAAATTTTTTTAAAGATAATTAAAAATGGCTGCAACAGTACATTGACGGAGAACTGCCAGAGGTTCAAGCCGTATTCAGATGAGGTAGGATTGGGGATATCATTGCTGATGTCAGATGGATCTTGGCTGAAAGCTGAGAATATCAGAAAGATGTTTACTTGTGCTTTATTGACTATGCAAAGGCTTTTGATTATGTGGATCATATGGACAACACTGTAGAGAATGAGTACTGGAACACTTCATTGTGCTCATGAAGAACTTGTACATAGACCAAGAGGCAGTTGTTTGAACAGAACAAGGGACATTAGAAAGTTTCAAATTAGGAAAGGTGTGCACCAGGGTCTTATTATTTAATCATACTTATTCAACTGTAAAAGTGCCACGGGCTGCCAAGAGAACCAACAAATCTGTGGTGGAAGAAGTGCAGCCAGAGTGTTCCTTGGAGGCCAGGATGGCCAAACTTCATCTCTCATACTTCGGACAGATTGTCAGGAGGGACCAGTCTCTGGAGAAGGATATCAATGTTTGGTAAAGTGGAGGGTCAGAGAGAGAGAGTAAGACCCCCAGTGAGATGGATTGGCCAAGTGGCAGCATCAATGGACTCAAGCGTGGCAACAATAGTGAGGTTGGCCCAGGATCAGGCAGTGTTTCTTTCTACTGTGCATATAAGGTCGCTATGAGTCAGTACCGACTCGATGGCACCTAACAACAACAACAACATTCAACTGTATGCTGTGGAAATAATTTGAGAAACTGGACTATATGAAACAGGATTGGAGGAAGACTCATTAACAACCTGTCATATGCAGATTATACAACCTTGCTTGCTGAAAGTGAAGAGAACTTAAAATACCAATGAAGATCAAAGACCACAGCCTTCATTATGAGTTGCACATCAATGCAAAGAAGGAAAAAATCTTCACTACTGCATCATTAAATAACATCCATATAAATGGAGAAAAGATTGAAGTTGTTATAGACTTTATTTTGCTCTGATCAACCATCAACACTTATAAAAACTGTTTTCTAGAAATCAAATGACATATTGCATTACGCAAATCGGTGGCACAAAACCGCTTTATAGTGCTGGGGAGCAAAAATGTTAGTTTGACCTAAGCCATGGTATTTTTAATAATTTCATATGCATTTGAAAATTTGACAGTGAATAAGAAAGACCATAGAAGAATTGATGCATTTGAGCCATGGTGTTGCAAGAGTATATTAAAAGCATTATGGATCGCCAAAAGAACAAACAAATTTATGCTTGAAGGAGCACAGCCAGAATGCTCCGTGAACGCTAGGATGGCCAAACTTGGTCTCTTGTACTTCTGATATATTATCAGGAGGGACCAGTCTGTGGAGATGGATATCATGCTTGGCAAAATGGAGGATCAGCAAAAAAGAGGTAGGTCACCAAGGAGTGGCAGCATTAATAGGCTCAAGTATGTGAGGTTGGTGCAGGAAGGACTGAGCTGTGTTTTATTTTGTTGTGCATAGGGTCCCTTGAATTGGTATCTATTTGATAGCAACTTACAATGACAACAACAACAAGGACTGTAGAGAATTGGCTTTGAGGTTGAGGCTGAATTATGAAACAAGAAATGGAGACCATGCAGTGGTTGTTGTTATTGTTAAGTGCTGTTGAGTCAGATCCAACCCATATAGAGTTTCCAAAGAATGGCTGATAAGCTTGAACCACCAATATTGTAGTTTAAACCAACTTTGCAGTCCAGTTTATTTAACCCACAGAGCCACACCAAGTCTAGTATTTGCAAACCGTTAAATGGCGGTATTGGAGACATTGTTGGTGGCAAGTTAGTTCTTGGGAGTTCTGTATTCAGTCCTACACTGTTCTCACTCTAAATTCTCCTCTAAGTGTTCTTACCTACTTTCATATATTCAACCACTACCTTTAAACAGATGACTTTCAAAATCTGTATCTATAGGGCAGACTTACTCCCAAACTTCATAATTATTTATTTATATGTCACTTGAATATCCTACATCTATCTCAACCTCAGCATGTTTGAAAGTGAACACATACTAATTTTTCACTTTCTCCCATCTTCTTCCTCACCTCCTGCAAACACACACACACACACATCTCACAATTTGCTCCTCCCTCTGCATTCTCTATTCAATCAATCTGGGACCATGAAAGACACCTACTCATCGAGGATAGAAATCTGGGAGGTAACTTTAATTCATGTCTCTCTTTCATCCCTTCAAATCTATTATTTCTGGAATCTATTTCCTCTTCTCCATTCCTGTAATCATTGGCTTTTATCTGGACCATTAAAAAAGTTTCCCGCTTCATCTCAGACTCCATATCATGAACTTCAAATGCACCTTCTCTCTCATTACCATGAGAATTTTAATCATGAACAGGCTAACCCATAAGTTAAAAATAATATTGCTACCTACAACTATGGATGCAATATCTCAAAAGAGGAACCAAATCCTTAATGCAAGAATCATTCCCACACCCTCCACACACAGATTAGACAGGGATGGGCAACTTGGACATTGGCTACCCAAAATGGAGGTGGGGGAGGGGGGAGGCGCTACAAAGGCAAGAAATGACTGGCTTACAAGTTTTCAAGAGGGAACCTAGATCCAGAAGGTGTTGAGGAAGGTAGAGTCTCCAGTGAGTAGTATCCAATCTGTCTAGGCAGGGCTGATGAAATGAAATACAGATAGGTCTCTTGTGATACAGTAGTGAATAATTGTTATCAGGACTGATTGTGAGGGTTGGAAATGTAAGGGTAGACATTTTATAGCAAGGAGGGGAGTGATTAACTTTCCAGTCTAGGAGCGGAGGTCCCTAGGACCATCAACAGAGAAGAGCGGAGAGTGGGATCCTACCCAGAGAAGCAGTGATGCAAGAGATGGAGGCAGAGACGATGACGTGGAGAGATGGAACAACTGGGGACTTGAGATCCAGAGAGGGAGAGGGGCTGTGTGTTGATGACTGGGGGTGGGGGGGGGGGCAAGCTTGTAAGGTATACCCTTTGGTTGGTTGATGATGCATGGAGGGGATTGTAACCATGGCAATGAAATGATATATGATAGAATGAATGTAAAACTAATGTTCTCCCATGTAAACTATCACATAATTTACAATAAAACATTTATATTAAAAAAATGACAAGAAACAATTTCAAACACCCATTAATAATTGGAACATGCTATGTATGAAATATGAAGCTATAGAAATTGAAAGCTGTAAAAAAAGAAAAAAAAAAAAGATATTGCTTCCAATTACCTAACAGACCTTAGTGACCTGGTGTACAAGGCTCTCCATAATTTTCTCCGTTAGTCACTCTTATTGTCACTTTTTGTCTCAGACTTAACTCTCCAGCCACATAGACTATCCTAGATCTCCTCATATGACATAGTTTTCTTACTTCTATGTTACTTCTCATGTTGCTTCATCTGCCTGTAAATCCATCTCTTTCTTTACCTGGTAAATTCTTATTTCTTCTGTACGTCTCCACTCAGGTTTCACCTCCTCTGGGAATGTAAGCTAGATTAAGTCTCTTCCTTTAGGCTCCCATTCTCTATTACTATCCTTGCACACTCTTTATTATTATTATTATTATATTACTTGATTTTGTTGTTGGGAACACACACAACAAAACCTATACCAGTTCAACTTTCTGCATGTACAATTCAGTGACATTGATTACATTCTTCAAGTTGTGTAATCATTTTCAGCCTCCTTTTCTGTGCTGTTCCTTCCTCGCTAACATAAACTCACTGTTCCCTAAGGCATCTATTTAAACTTTGAGTTGCTGTTGTCAATTTGTTCCCATACAGATAATTCTTAAAACAGTACTAAGATTAAAACAGTAATTTACTCTAATTAAAACAGTAATTTAAAACAGAGACTAGCTGGGTGATGATAGCCACTGTCAACTAATCTGGTCTGACTCATAACGATGCTATAGGGCAGAGAGATTTGCTCCATAGGATTTCCAAGACTTTAAATCTTTATGGGAGCAGACAGCATCATCTTTCTTCCTTGGGGTGGTTATTGGGTTTGAACCTTCATCCTTTCAATTAGTGATCCAATGCTTGACCCACCACACCAACAGGGCTTCTAGCTGGGTGACGAGATAGTGCTAAACAGATAAACACACAAATAATATTATGCCAGGTAAAGAGGAGAAAACTATACTTACTTTGCCTTTAGTACTCATGCTGATGTTCTTCCTCTTCTTTGCCCAGATGAATATATAAAGAAAGATTCACGTCACGAATTTCAGTCTGAAAAGTCCAAGTGTATGAAGAAGACTGGTAACTAGCAAGACTTTGTTCTAAGCTTTTTGTGTAAATTCCTGCTTGGAGGGAGGTTCCTAACTGTGATTTGAAATAGACTTAGCTCAGTATATAAAGGTCAGATTGTGCAATTTTTACTTCTCTCTTTAACCATGTAGTTTCTTTCTTATATAATCCTTCAGCAACTGGTTCAGTAGTTCAGTAACAACACAATCAGTTCTAATTGATCTGCTGAGTGTTAAAATTGGACAATTTAATTAACAGTACACATAAACTTCTTTTTTTGGTTGTTTTTCAAATGCAGAGATGATCACCTTTGTCTTTAAACTTTGATAGTCCTTGTGGTTTTGCAAATTGGTTAATTGTTGAAGGATTAAAATGTTCCTAGGTAATTTACTTTAGTAGTTTATCATAAGTGCCTCTCTGTCTTGGTATGCAGACAGTAAAATAAATTTGCACAATAAGTCTGAGAACTGAGATTTAGAATTCAGAAAATGTCTTTATGTGGACTAAGTGAGTCTTGACCAAGTTCCAATGATCTGATGATCAATGGTAACAAAGAAAGACATTTCCAATATAAAGGAACACCAATGACCAGGTTCTAGTTAGAAGGAAAAGTAAAATGATTCTGAGTTCATGATGTGGAAAAAAGTTGGAACCAGTTCTAAGGTAGTCTTTCTATTATTAAATTGCTTCTTTCTCTACCCAAATTACTGGTCTATAGAACAAAAAAGTGGAGTTGTTAATAGCTGTAAGACTTAGGGCTTAGGCCTATTAGAATATACTCTTGACTAAGAATTTTAGCCACTGCCTGCATGATTTCTGAACATTATCCAGAGTCTATAATTCCTGGATTTCTCGACTTTGCAGTGAAACTAGTCAATCACAAAAGGACAAATACTGTTATGAGACCAATGTAAAAAGTCAAGAAAAGGTTTTCTTGATAAAAGAAACAATCTATGATGATTATGGGAGAAGGAGGAGAGAAATTTTTCACAGGCTAAAGGGTAGAAGCATCTTAACATGGGTGACGGGGTAGACAATACACAAGAGGGAGGTTGGTGGTGGTGGTCATATGCCATGGAGGTTAGCAGAGGAAAAATTAAGGTAGTGGGAGACAGGGAGGAATGCAATAGTTAAAGTGAATGGAGGTAAATGCTGTTAACCGTTGATACATGGTGGTGTGGTGGTTATGTACTGTGGAGTCGGTTCCAGCTCATAGAAACCCTGTATAGGGTTTCTGAAACTATAAATTTTTACAGGAGCAGAAAGCATCTTCCCCTCACAGAACAGCTGGTAGTTTTGAACTGCTGACTGTGAGATTAGTAGCCCGACTTGTAACCACTACTCTACCAGAGATAATTTGCTCTGTACACCTTCACTGAAGTCACAATAAAAGGCTTAAGAAAAAAAGGACAAAGAAAAAAGAATAGCAGCAATGACAACAACAAATACAAAACAAAGAAATCCTAAGAATTACGTGGGACACCATTATGATTTGTTGAATATATGATGATCTTGTCTGTAATCCTTCATTCAATTCACAATAAAACATAATTCAGCCTTCCATGGATTCAATTCTACTTCTTTGCCCTTTCAATGTACTATCTATTTCTGAATTCTTAGTATTAATTAATCTTCTGATTTTCTAGTTGCTGTTTTCCAATTTTTCATTTCTTTTGTCAGTTTGTTCTTGTAGTGTTTTCCTGAATTCTTCTAAAGCTTTTTTCTGTGTTCTCCTTGCTTTCTCTCAATCCAATGAAGGTACCTAAATATCATTCTTTCAAATTCCTTATCAAATAGTTCTGATACCATTTTTGGTATTATATTTTCTGATTCTGTATTTTGGTCACTTGCTTGAGGCACTCTATCTTGTTTCTTTGTTTAAGCTGAAATTGTCTCATTTTCCTGAGACATTTGTGGTATCATTGTATTTATATTTAATTGATGATTGTATGTTTCTGTGTTATCAAGCACTTACCTTGTCTCTCCTGGTGGTTATGATGGACATTGGAAATGCTTGTTGAGTTCTATATTTGCTGTTTATGAAGCTTAGCTCAGGAGTGGGACATCTGTTGCCCACCAAGGCTGCTTAGGAGGGGGTACCACTGACTTCTGAGTTGGGGAAGCTGGATACTATACACACTTCTGGCTCCAGGAGGGCACAGAAAAAGGGAGAATCACATCCCCATTGCTGCCAACTTCCAGTTACATCCTGTGCCTATAGGTCGCTTGCAAAGGCTCAAGATGGCTGCAGTACTTCATGCTGCAGGCTTTCAAGCCTGCCCGTTTTTCTTCTCTCTAACTGCTCCTGTTTAGTGGCCTCTTCCAGTTAGCACTCAATCCACCTCTCTTAATCCTCTGAAGCCCAGGGTTCAGGATCACCATCTGTAGTTGTTTCACTTAGCCTTGCATGTCTTTGTTGCACTGTGTCTGCCTGCCATCTTGTCACAGAAGTCTTCTCTTTTTCCAAATTTTTTTATTGAGAGTTGGGTTTTGAGAGCAGATAACCAATTTTACATTAAACAATTCGTATACATTTTGTTCCATCACATTTATAGTAATCCCTTCAATGTAATGTCACTTACCCTATTTCCTCCCTGTGTTTCTAGTTCTTTTTTTCCTAACCCTTCTGAACTTTGTCCTTGAGTAAATGCTGCCATTTTGATAACAAATTGTTGATTATTCCTATGTGTCATGGGCCTCACTAGTATTATTGTGCCTCTTATAGATTTGTATATTATTTAGCTTACAATTGAGCCACAGGGGTGAGTACATTTCCAGACCTGAAGGGTGACTGAGTACTATAGTCTCAGGGGTCCCAACAGTCTCTATCTGATCAATAAAACTGGTCTTTTTTCATCTTCAATTTTGTTCCATATTTTGTCCCACTCTACTCACGACCTTCTAATTTGATTTCTTTCAGAGCAGTTGGTAGAAGTTATAGGGCACCATCTAATTCTTTTGATCTCAGTGTCATGAAGACTGTCATGATGTTTGCTGGTTCATTGAGGACTTATCATTCTTGTTTTTTTTTTTAAGGTTTTTATTGTGGATTGAGTGAAAGTTTACAGGGCAGATCTGCAATTTTACATTCAACAAATCATACAGCTTGTTTCATCACAATGATAATAATCCCCTCCCATGTAACATCAGTTAACAGTATTTCTCTCTATCCACTTTAGCTTTAAAAAAAACCAAAAATACTCAGGCATATATAATAATTTACATCTCCAAAAGGCATAGTCTGCAAGTCTGCCTCCTGGTCACCAGCTCTTAGTCCTTCTCTTCCCATAAATCTAGAGTCCTCAGCAGTTCCCCCTCTACATGCCCCCATCTCTGCCTCCATCTCTGGCATCGCTGCTTCTCTGGATAAGGCCCTGAATTCTGCTTGTGCTCTTTAAAAATCAGTAATGGGCGAGTTAAAGACTAGTATCAGCTGCCACAATAGAAAAGCAGTATTGCTTTACTCAGTTTTCAACCCCGAGCTGGTTGTCAGATTCAGAGTCCATCAACTGAAGGGGAAGCTGCGTCCTCTTCAATAAGAACTATACACAACGTAGATATGGCAGTGGTAGTGGTGGTTGTATGCTGTTGAGTTGGTTCCGACTCATAGCAACTCTATATCAAGTTTCCAAGGCTGTATATCTTTACAGCAGCAAAAAGCCTCAACTTTCTCTCATGGAGCATCTGGTAGACTTGAACTGCTGATCAAGTGATTAACAGCATAACCCACTACACAATCAGAGTGCCTTAAAAGGCACCAGGAATTGATGGAATACAAATAGAAATCTTTCAATAAAGTAATGTGGCACTGGAGGCACTCACTCATCTATGCCAAGAAATTTGGATGACAATTACCAGGCCTACTGACTGCAAGAGATCCATATTTGTGCCCATTCCAAAGAGAGGTGACCCAAGGGAATGCGGAAATCATCGGGTAACATCATTGATATCCCATGCGAATAAAGTTTTACAAAAGGTAATACAGAAACAGCTCCAACCATACATTGACAAAGAACTTTCAGAGGTTTAAGGCGGTTTCAGAAGAAGACGTGGAACTAGGGATATCACTGCTGACGTCAGATGGATCTTGGCTGAAAGCAAAGAAGAATACCAGAAAGATGTTTATCTGTGTTTTATTGACTTCACAAAGGCTTTTGATTATGTGGATCATGACAAACTATGGACAACATTGCAAAGTATGAGTATTCTAGAACACTTAATTGTGCTCATGAGGAACCGGGACATAGACCAAGAAGCAAAAGAACCCTAGACTGTTCTTTTGTGTACCATAGACTGCCAAAAGAACAAATGGATCTGTGTTAGAAGTACAGCCAGCGTAATCCTTGGAAGCTAGGATGGCCAGACGTCATCTCTCATACTTCAGACATATTATCAGGAGGGACCAGTCACTAGAGAAGGTTATCATGTTTGGTAAAGTGGAGGGTCAGAGAAAAAGAGGAAGACCTCCAGTAAGATGGATTGGCACAGTGGCAACAGAAATAGACTCAAACATAGCAATGACTGTGAGATTGGCCCAGGACCAGGCAGTGTTTCGTTCTGTTGTGAATAAGGTCGTTATGAGTCTGTAATGACTTGACGGCAACTAATGACAACAACATATATGCTATCAATCCCTGCCCCCAATCCTTTTCCACAGAGGCAAAAAACCCAAAAGTATAACTTTAAATTGGGAAAAGGAGAATACACAGAACTTTCCAAAGTTGTCCAAGCTAACACCCATTCCATAGTAACCAAACTGCTGGCATGGTCCTGTTACAGCTCTGTGAAAAATGAAGCATGCCATCTTATTCAAGAATGTTTGGGCATGAAATTAGTGAGCTAAAGGTCTTTGAACTATCTTGTATGAGAGCTTTCTATTTGATCTCATGTGACTCTGTAGGATAAACATTGGGAT